GGGTCCTGTCCCTAAATTATCTCTTCTCTCTTTACCTCCACTATGGTCTGTTTCTCGGAGCTCTACTGTTAGAGTTTCATTCCTTTTACAGTCTTCATGATGGATTACCTTTGGCAACTTACCAGCACTTTCACATCCAGTCTCTTGAATTTTGTGAGTCAAGGATATTTATTCCCATTTTACAGATTGGAAAACTGAAACCCAAAGAGGAGCAGTAACTTGCCTGAGGCCACACAAGTCAGTGACAGCTAAGACTAGATAGATCCCCAGTTCTCCAACTTCCAGCTGGAGTAGATTGAACTGCCTCAGAGAAAAGAAGCCTTTATGGCCTACATTGGGGTATTTACACTTCAGGCAGAATGAGTCCAAATCTTCCTTGAGAGCTTAAATGGGGAAAAGGAACTAGAAAAACTGAAGACAATGGGAATCAAACAGATTTAACAAAACTAAACGAAATTATCTGACTAATGCAACATCCACATCTGATGCTGCCATGAATAGCTGGCTTCTGGCTGGCTTCTAGGTGGCTGGTCCACTTACTATCTTACAGTCCCTCCAGGCTTGGTTCTAGGCCCACTTCACACCTCCGTATTCTCTTTGGTATTCTAATCCACCTCATTCACCACCTGTACACAGATGTACACAAGTATGTGTCCCCAGCCCAGCACTCATCTCTAAGCTCCAGGTCTATCTAGCCAATTGCTTCTTCCAACATCTTCGTGTATATCACAGACAATCCAAACTCAACACATCTGCAATGGATCATCTCTATGTACTCCAAGCCTGGATTTCTTACCATGTTCTCACCTCTGTCCAACATTATGGAAGCCAAAAACCCAAGAGCTATCCTTAATACAACTTCTATTTCGCATCCATCTCAAAGTTCTGTCAGCTTAAATAGCTTAAATAGGACTTCTCTCTGGTCCTAGCTACCATCACATCCTTCCTGCCTTCCTTCCCAGCCATTTTGCATGCTGCAGCCAGAGTAATCCTTCAAACCACAAATGTGATTTTGTTCACTACCCCCAACCCCATTTAAAAACATACCTGTGCCTTCCTATTGGTCTTAGCATCAAGCAACATCTCAGCCAGGCTCCTGTCTACCTCTCCAGCCCCCAGTCTAATATATATCCTTCCCTTTCTCCTCTCTAGTTATATAGCCTTCTTTGAGGTCTTCAACGTTGATTTCCAGGTAATCTTTCACCATAGAGCTTTTGCACATGCTGTTTTTTCTGCCTGGAATGTTCATCTTTTCTCCCTGCTATAATTTATACTTATCCTTCAGTTTTCTCAATCACTTCTTTGGAAGGTCTTCTCTGACTGCTCAGACCAGGGTCAAATCCTTCAATTATACAAGCTCATGTCCCTCTCCGTTATAGTATTATTACTGTTGCATTTTAAAAAATTTTTTAAATGCTTGTTTTTGAGAGGAGAGAGAATGAGTGGAGGAGGGGCAGAGAAGGGAAGAAACAGAGGATCTGAAATGGGCTCTGTGCTGACAGCAGAGAGCCCGATGTGAAGCTCAAACTAACAGACCATGAGATCATGACCTGAGATGAAGCCAGATGCTTAACCAACTGAGCCACCCAGGTGCCCTGCAATTTTTTTAAGTGTTTATTATTTAGAGAGAGCGCACATCTGTGCACAGGGGAGGGACAGAGAGAGAGAGGGAGAGAAAGAATTCCAAGCAGGCTTCATGCTATCAGTGCAGAGCCCTATGAGGGGCGCAAACCCATGAACTGTGAGATCATGTCCTGAGCCAAAATCAAGAGCCAGATGCTTAACCGACTAAGCCACCCAGGCGACCCATCGTTGTTATGATTTTTACGTACTGATTAAGCACCTACTACTTGCCACCACTTTGGCATATGAGAAAAACATGGTTCCTGCCCTGGTGGAGTTTATGGACATACAGATGGTAAACAGATAATCTTAGGAGTGCTACCATGGCAGTAAGTATATGAGTCCAGAAGAGAAGTTCCACATCCAGATTGGAGCATATATATAGGCTCAAAAGGTGATACCTGAACTGAGCCATAAAGAAGTAGCAAGGCAAAAGGAGAGAGAAACTGTATTCCAAGCAGAGGAAGGTAGATGTGTGGCAACCCAGTGGCAGGTGCAAGGAACTTAATTCAAGTAGGTGTATTAGCTGGGCTGCAGAATTAGAGATGAGGAGCAGCGATGGCAGTAGAGAGGTAGGCAGGAGCTAGGTTGAATCTTGGACTTCCCTATGGCACCTGGAAGTATAACCTCCCACTAGAGTATGTGGTAGACTTTTCGTGCCATTCTTTGACTTTTCTTCCACCTGTAGTCCCTGACCAGAAACCTTCTCTAGGCCAGGCCATTTAGTCTCTTATCAGATCTCATCTGATTATTCCCAAAGCTTCTTATGCCATTGTGTTGCTACTTACCTGAGAGGGAAGGAATAGGCTATCAACAAATCAAACTCCAATTGTTGTAATTTCCAGAAACTGAAAACAAATATCCATCAACCTAGGATTGGTTAAAGTTAAATTAAGTAAATAAAGTAGGATACACACAAATTCTGTGAAATACTCTACAGTTATTAAAAGGGTGAGAGTCTACAACATTTTTTTAAGTTTATTTATTTTGAAAGAGAGAGAGTGGGGGAGAGACAGAGACAGAGAGAGAGAGAGAGAGAATATCCCAAGTAGGCTCCACGCTGTCAGTGCAGAGCCCAATGCAGGACTCGATTTCATGAACCATGAGATCATGACTTGAGCTGCAACCAAGAGTCAGATGCTTAACAGACTGAGCCACCCAGGTACCCATAGAGTCTACAATAATTTAAAGAGAAAAAAATACATTGTTAGCTAACATTACAAGGACAACCATATTTCAGTATAAAATCAGTATGCATCAAATCATAGACTTTTAGTTTCTACTTGATGTACTTCTCTATGTTGTTTGACTTTATTCAGCTATCATGTTAACTTTTAAAATTAAAGATAAAGTAAAAGATATTTCTATTTTGGAAGAGAAAAATTCCAAAACAAGACAAGTATTCCTCTAAAACTGTCATTTGTCAAGTTAACCTGGATAAATGAGGAAGGCACTGTGATCTGACTGGTTATGAGGCAGAATAGCAGCTGGGAAAGACAGACTCCAAAAACGCAGCCACTGAAGTGAGCAAGGCAGCCTCAGGTTTTTGTCAGTTTGGGTATACCTACCCAGCAGCCAGATTTACCATGTGACACCTGAAGACGCAATTCATTTCTTCCTTCATTTTTCCATTATCCATTTGTTCATCAAGCCTTTAGTGAATACCCATTCTTTGCTAGGCTCAGTGCAGAGTAATGGTGGGAAGAGAGAAAGAAGTCTGATTTCTGTCCCTGCCCTTGAGCTTACAAGGAAGGAATAGGAAGTAGTTTATAAAGAAATGTACAGAGAATACAACTGCTTCTATGTATTAAGCACCTGCTGCAGGACATAGAACAGCACTCAAAATAGGTTTGTCTCCATTTTACAGGTGAGGAAACAGGCTGCGATAAAATTTTGTTCAAAGTATAATACAGGTATGTATCAGTTAGCTATTGCTGTATAGCAAACTATCCAAAACCATACTTTGAAACATATAGCTTAAAACAATACACATTTATTATTGCTTCCAAGTCTTTCAGTCAGCTATGTTTCTTCTGGTCTTGGCTCAGCTCATTAATGTGTCTGCAGGCACCTGTGGGTTGTGTGACTATCCTGAACTTGACTTGGTATAAGCTGGCTATTGGCTGGTCTAGGATGGCCTCAGGTGGGAACACTAGCTCTGCATGTATCTCACCTGCACGTTTCTCACATCCCACCAGTAGGCTAGCCATTTTCTCTTGGCACAGGTAAAGAGCAAGAGGGCATGCCCTCTCTTTAAGCTTCTGTTAGTTTCATATTTACCAACATCCCATTGGTCAAGGCAAGTCATATGGCTGAGCCCAGCATGAAAGTGGATAGAACTACAGAGTTATAGGGCAAAAAGGACAGATACAAGGAAGACCATGAATAGGAACAATCAAGGGAATCAATCTATAGGACACATTGATCAATTTTTTTCTGGAAAGACAGGCTTCATCAGAGGGTACACTAGGCTTGGGAACTGAAACATAATTAACATTCACTAAATAGGCAGCTATTTCTTAGAACTTGATGTGGGCTGGTTTGCCACAATCGATGGAATCCTAGCAGGCTTTTCTGTGCCCATGACAGACAGGGTTCTGTTATTTACTATCTTGGCTTCATTCCTTCTGGTCAGGTACAGGGCAGCAGCCACTCCACAAATGTTTGCAGAATTGAATCAAGTTTCTTACTGTGAACGAGGTGTGGACTGAAATAGCTGAACCTGGGAGCCAATTGTTAGAAAGAACAGCTTAGCATCAACACTCCCAAAACAGAAATCCTTGTATTTGGCAGTTTCTCATTCATTCCTCCCACGAATATTTCTCGAGCGCCTGTTGTAAGCCAGGTTCTGTGTCAGATGATGAACAAAATTTAGTGCCAGCTCACAGCCTGGGCTACTGTTTAAATGGAGAAGAGTAATAACCCTCTCCACCTGGCAATTTACCTAACTACTTGGGGCCCCATGTTTAATACTAACGCATCCAGAAAAATGCATCAGGAGCTGGTGCAACACAAAATTCTCAGTGAGGTTCTCGATGGTCAAGGAAACTAATGACAAAATTCTGCCCTTAAATATTCTAAGCTAAAATCCACGTCCAGTAGTGCAGAACTTTGGGGTCCCAACCCAGGACTTTGAGAAAATTATCCAATCTCTCAAAGGCATCGAACCTGTTGTAGGTGCTCAAGTGGAATGGGCTTCTCTGTCTCAGTGAGAACACAAGCCAGGTTCCTGTGTCTGGAAAAACATGTGTTCTTTGTTGTCTGTCTGTTGATTTGATACCTAAAAGATTCTGGTCTCCCTAATCAACCCACCAGTTCCAATTTAACAAGAGAATTCAGCTGTGAAGCGACTCAAGGTGGCACTTCCACGAAGCTCAGTTGAGACTGCTGCTTTTTGAGAGGAAGACATCATTCAGTTTCCATTCTTCTACACATGTGAAATCACCAAAAAAAAGGAATTTACTTGAACTGTATTAAATTGAATTATAAGCTATCAAGTCCATGGTTTTTAAGGGAAATTTCATTTTAAGAGAATGCACGGATTTCATTTTCTGCGTACAACCTGTTTGCTTCTTTGAATCAAATGATGAGAACTCCATATCCTAAGGCTTCCCTTTTTACTTTGGCTGCCAGGAATTTCAGAGATAACATAGGCTGTTTCCTAATTGTTAGATACATCTCTCTCCTTTCTTCTTTAATTTGCCTTCTAACCTTTCTCTTCCATGTTTCCATTTGCCACTAGTCATCCATGGCTGTTGAGCACTTGACAGGTAGCATGTCCACACCAGGACATGCTATGTTAAGTGTAAAATGTCTCAATTATTAATATCAATTATATGTTGAATATTTTGGATATATTGGATTAAATAGATTAAGCTTCATCTGTTTCTCTTGACTTTTCATGGTTACTAGAAAATTTTAAACTATATACTTGAAAAAAATTATGTATGTGGCCTGCATTTGCAGTGTTCGTTATATTTCAGTTGAACAGCTCTGTTCCGTAAATCATCCCGTTTTATGCATGTATTGTTGTTGTAAACTACCTCAAATCCTTCTGGAAAGCAGATGAAGTATAGTAACTGCAAAGGCGATGATGGCAGTGGAAGCAATGAGGAAGGGGAGGCTGACTGGGACGTGCACTTGTTGGTCTATTTGTCTTTTGTTTGTATGTGTCACATTCAAAACCCCTTGGTGTAAAGTGTGTTCAGCTCTCTTCTTCCCAGGTGAGTAGTATTCTCATGGCTCTCTCCAGTCTCTTGAAAATTTCTCTGTTTGAGTTCATTGGAATTGGAAAGGATCTAATAAAACAATTCACACCACATTGTAAATGACTGATAACACTGTGTTCACCCCTCTCAAGGGGTATTTCCATTTTAACAGGGAACAATCCCTGAACCCAAAGGAATGAATCCCTAATGGTGGAGTTTCAGGCATCAGTGACAGGTGAGTGACTGAAGTAGACTCTGGTTTTATGTGTATGTGTTTATATACATATGACTGTATTCGGGATGTGGCTGAAAATAGAGTCTATTGAAAGGAAATGGGGCTGACAGACATAGGGCCTATGGAAAGGAAATGGCGCTGACAGACAAGCTGAGCAGAGGTAACAAGTCCCCAGCTGGTCAGATTGCAAAGGGCTGTCAGACACCTGATCCAATGCAGGTGCTCAGGAGTTTGTTAAGCAATAGAATAGCCCAGTTGATGTCACCAGAGTGTAGGTACCAAGACAGCCTCCATGGTAACTACTATGGAGTAGCACAAAGCGGGGCTCAGAGTAGGATGCAGGAGGCTATGATTGCAGTCCACACTGACTCATTGGCTTAACTTTCGGCAAGTGCTTTCATCCTGGGGTCTCAGTTTCTTTGTGTAGAAAGAGAAATGGGTGTTACAATTATCAATGAGCTCTAAGGGATGTAAAAGTTCTCTGAGAAGTAGGAAGGTGCCCTACAAATGCAAGGAACCATGCTTAATATCTTAAAATAGAAATGCAGCCAGGCAAGCCTTGAGTGGTAGAGGATAGAAAGGAAGGGTGGAAGGCTATGGGGATACCAGAAGGCCTATGCCCCTATACCTGCAACACCAGTCCTTCTCTGTCCTCCCAGGCTGAACCCGGACTCCCAGGGCCAGTGCTTACACCTGACAAACGATGGCCTGAGCTATGAGCAAAGAGGACTATATGAACACTTCAGTGCAAGAGCCCCCTCTTGACTACTCCTTCCGAAGCATCCATGTGATCCAAGGTCAGCCCACAGAGTACAGCACTCCACTCACCATAGCAACAGGCTGGGTATAGTCCCCAGGGAGAAACCAGTCTTCTACTTAAAAGCCTAAATTCCTGTATGCTTGCAATTTTGTTGTTTTGGGGAGGAGTAGGGGTAGGGAGGTGGTAGGAAGAGGTGGTAGGAGTGGGAGGGATAATTGATCCTCTTTGAAAGAAGCCAGCCTACAACAGTAAAGTCAGGTGGAAGAAAATTGGGAAACCAGTCTATCAGCCAATGGTTTTATTCTCCTGTTTTTACCTGAAGAGACGAAAAAACTAATGAAAACACAAGCAGAACCCTCTCTCCTCTAAGGACACAAGCCTATTCTGATCACTGGTAAAACATGCAAGGTCTCGTTATTAACAATGGGCATGTTTCCAGTTTAAATATTTATTGACAAATATATTCATTCCAGTCATATCCAAGTTTATTCCATCATCACCCACACTTATTTCAGGTTTCAGCACTGCCCATGCTCATTCCCATTTTATTATTCAATGTCCTTGTAAATAGGTGGCTCATACTCTTCAGGAAGGGACAGAAAGAGAGAGAGAGAGAGAGAGAATCATATTCTCAGGAGAATATGCTTCTTCCCAAGGGAATTCTGCTGTCCCTAGACTTTGCCATCTGCCCTCACAGAATACATGCTGGCACCCACATATCCTAGCCCCAGTATCTGGCTTTGGTTTTCTCACATAGGCAATTGGTGACTAATTTTAAGCTCAGAAAAAAGGCAAATAGTTATCCAGGAGGTACTAGCCTTGGCTTGTGTTTAGGGCACTACTGGGCTCCCACCAGCCACAGTGGTAACTCATGTTCTGTCATGGACATACACTCACCTACCATGATCTTTATTGGGCACTGCATCACTCTTAATTGATATAGTCTGTGTTTCACAAGGGTTTGAGCTGTAATGGTCATGTACAAGATAGCTGAGGTGACAAATAAGGGAATAGCTGAGTGGGGAATAGCTTTGTCCTCTATGGAACCCTCAGAATAAGGGGACAATCTACTACAACCAAGAATAACCACACAGCACAAACCATGATCTGTACAGATGCCCTTTCATTGAATCACTAATATTTACTGAGCACCTATTTAGTAAGCACATGTGTATACACACATGCCAGGCATTGTGCTCCTTGCTGTGTGTTGTAAGGAGGAGAAAAAGACAGGTGCATCCAAGCCCCAAAGGCCCTCTGGTTCCACAGAACTTGTGGAAAGAGTTTAGGAGTACTTGATAAACTATTTGCTTGAAGTAATCGATAGATGGATTATAGACTCTGAAATGGCAGGGACTTTAGACCACATCCAACCCAAAGTCCTCTAACTTCTGCTCGCTCGTGAACCTACAGTGGTAAGGGAGTCCCCTATGACACCCACTTACCAACCCCTCCCATTATGAGGTGAGGAATGAGGCAAAGAAGTTATCATCAAACTAGCTCCCACCCTCTAGAAACACGTGGAAAAGTTGCACAGCAATCTTTCAGAGATATGAAGACAGGATCACATTTTCCCCAGTCTTCCTGGGGCTGAACACTCCACAGTTCTTTGGGCACTGATATTTGTGGTCTGTTTTCCAGACCTGCCTTGGCCTACTCTGAACAAGGCAGCTTCAACAGATCCTCAAGCAGTGCACTACCGTGGTGGAGTCTAAGGGAACAGAAGTATGTAGCAGCGGGATACCCCATTCCACCCTTGATACCAGCAGCCCCAATAGGAGCCTCAAGTTTTAGGCAGCACAGTCCTGCTAGTGGCTAATTCTGAGCTAGAGATCAGCCCATGCTTGGTGGCATTCCTCAAGCTGCTGCCTCATCAGACTGGATGCTAATCCATATGGGTTTATTTTAACCCTTTTATTCAGCTGTGTCATTTCATTGGGGGTTCTTGGGATATGGTGGTGGGGAGGGGACAGGATAAGGAGTTTATTCATGAGCTGGAGCACTCTGCTCCAGTGCCCTTCTGCCACCTCCCCCCAACTTCCTGCTCACTCCAGCATTAAGGCAGAGAGCCATCTGGTGGATGCTGCTGGATGTGCAGCAGAGGAGGAGAGGAAGTTAACACTGGGAGGAGGGGATGGGAAGGGAGGAAGCATGTCCAGTGCGAGTTGAGGGGAGTGACAACAGCTGGCCAGGCTCAGCAAACCCTAAATACTTACTTCCCCTGAGGCAGGTTTTGACAAGTAATGAAGGGCTTAGGGAGAACAGGAAAAATGTAGTCACCTCAGCCATAGCTGGTATCTGGTTCTGGCTCTGCCACCATGAATTTGGGCAGGGCCTGTCCTTTCTTTGACCTCATTTGTCAAAACGTGAGTGGGGGCCTATACAGATGGATTGTAAAATTAGTGTTCCCTATTCTCTCTCCTCCTTAACCAAACTTTCTGAGGGTGTTGTTTACACTACCTGCTTAGATTTCCTGAACCGTCCCTTCACCCTTGAACTCAGTCCAATCTAGCTTCGTCCCCAGGCCCTCGTCATTTCATTGAAATAGTCCTCACCAAGGTCACAAGGAGCTTCTGAGTTGCCGAAATTAGTTTTCAGACCTTATCTCCTGAAACTCACACTTATAAACTATGGATTCCCCAAGCATCTGTAAAATTATCTTCTCGAGGTTCTCCCTCCGATTATTCATTACTATTTAATAGACTCCCCTTCCTCCTTGTCCCTTCTCTCTACCCTCACTCGTGTGGAATCTCATCTATTTCTCTAACTTGTACACCTTCTATGCTAATGATTCTCATCTCTTTCCTGAGCATCAGACTTTCATATTCAGCTGCTTACTTGGCTTCTCCACCTTTTTGTGCTACAGGAACCTCAGACACACACCAAGGCCAAGCCTTCCAACCCCAGTTTCTATCTTTCTAATTCCTTATCATTCACACAAACAAGAAACTGGGCACTACCCTTGATTATTCTTCTACTCTTAACATCCAATCAATCATCAAGTCATGCTGATTTTCTGTTCCACTTCATCTCTTGTCTGGATGACTGAAAGAGCCACATCGGTCCTCAGTCCCATCCACTCCCTTTAATCCATACTCCACACTAAAGCTTCAGAATGATCTTTCTGTAGGGCACCTGGGTGGCTCAGTTAAGCGTCCGACTCTTGACTTCGGCTCAGTAAAATCACAGCTCTTATTATCAGGCACCAACTGTGCCTTGTACTGAGTTCTTTTGTGGAAGAGGTAGCTAAACTACAGCACTGATTTTTCATGAACTCAGGCTCAAATTTTAAGAAATAAAATTTCTTATCTAGGATCCCTATCTCACAGTTCATGAGTTCAAGCCCCACATCCGACTGTGCACTGACAATGCAGAGTCTGCTTGGGATTCTCACTATCTCCCTCCCTCTCTTTAGTAGTATCTCATGTAGTATCGCTCTCTCAAAATAAATAAATTAAAAAAAAAAAAAAAAAAGAATGAGGGGCTCCTGGGTGGCTCAGTTGGTAAAGCATCCAACTTTGGCTCAGGTCATTATCTATGGTTCCTGGGTTCAAGCCCTGCATTGGGCTTCCCACTGACAGTGTGAAGCCTCCTTTGGATTCTCTCTCCCTCTCTCTCTCTCTCTCTCTGCCCCTCCCCATTTGCATGTGTTCACTCTCTCTCAAAAATAAATAAACTTAAAAAAAAAAAGATCTTCTACATTGAAAGATTTGAATCACCTCATTTGCTTAAACCCTCCACTGGCTTCCCATTGCCCACAGGATAAAGTCCAAAACACTCAGCCTGCAATTCAAAGCTCCTTGTCTTTTTCCCCCTTGCCCACCTTGTGCAGCACATGCCCATATATACACACTGTTCCACACCTCATGCCTCTTCTCCTGTCATGCTGTTCTCACCCTTTGCACCCTTTACTTGGTTAATGTCTCCTGATCCACTGAGTTCCATCGCAGGTTTCAACTTCCCTAAGTTCCCAGACTATGTTAGGAGCCCCACTTCATAGTTCTGTTGCTGTTACATTGCCAGTCTGTTTTCATCTTGCTGGTATGAGCTCCTCCAAGGCACAAACAACTGCTTCATCCCTGCCCTGTTACTCATACAGAGTTTGGCATAGACCATCTCTCATTTTGTTTACTGCTATATATCCAGTATCTGGCACATACACAGTTGCTCAATATTAATGCGAGAGAGAGGACATCAGAATGTGTTGTACTTTAGTGAATGCTATGGGCTCCACCAGCGGATAAGTCTAGATTTTGTGCTATCATCTCAGTTCAAGTCTGACAACTCTGGGTTCTTAACTTCCATAAAATTAAGAGTGATTTTGCCTCCCTCAACCCCTCAAACAGGGGTGGTACACAAAGGACCCAATGATATGATAGACATGAGGGGACCATGTGACCCAAACCAAGAGTTTGGGATGGGAAGTCTTTGACCCTCAGTCCAAGCTTATTTGGATTCCTGGGGCCTATGGGACAGGGTCCTGGACTGACTATTGGTAGAGTCATACTAGACTCAAGCATGGGCTATGGTCCTGCTAGCCCCTCCAGCTATAGCTTAGGCTATAAATCCACCCAGCTCTGTCCCTTCCCAATGCTAAGACAGAAAAGCAAAAATGATAACCCAAGTCTTACTTTGTCCCCACAGATCTGACAAGCGAGGAGCCAAGAACAGGGCTACGACCACTAAGGCACTCAAAGTCAGGGAAGTCACTGACCCAGTCCCTGTGGCTGAACAACAATGTCCTCAATGACCTGAAAGATTTCAGCCATGTGGTTTCACTGCTTCTGGAGCATCCAGAGAACTTGGCCTGGATCGATCTATCCTTCAACGACCTGACTTCAATTGACCCTGTGAGTACCCAGCCCTGAGAGTCCAGTCAGGATGGGCTTGATCCCACCTTTTCTAGCTCCCAGCCTCTCTACTTCCCACATATTAGCAAAGAAGTAATGAGGCAGTGTGGTACAGTACAAAGTACATGGCCGTGGGCTCAGAGAGATGTAGGTTCAAATCCTAGATCTTACTGTGTGACTTTGAGCAAGACACCCAACCTTTCAAAATGTCAGAATCCCTGTCTGAAAAAATGGAGAGCATATGCCAGCATCATAAAGGTTTTGTAAGGATTAAATGAGAATTATGAAAAACAACTGGAACATAGCAGGCTGCACTAAAACCACAGCTCTTGTTATCTGGCACCCCCTGTGCCTTGTGCTGAGTTCTTTTGTGGAAGAGATAGCTAGACTGCAGCACTGATCTTCCATGAACTCACACTCAAATTTTAAGAAATAAACAGAACTGGCCCTTTCTTGTCCAGGATCCCTATCAGAGGGAAAGCAGCTAGAGAATGACTTGGTAACTATTCCCCAGGTGTAGAGATCCCAATTTAACTACTATTTGAAAGCTTCTCTTTTGTACCTAGCATGATGTTCTGTACCCCGTCCCCTGTTGTGAAAGAATCTTAAATCACTAAAGATGAAAAGGCCTTCAGTGTAGGGCCAGCTAAGGCTCAAGGAGAGGCAGGAGAGCCCAGGCGCCTGGCAAGTCAGTGGCTATGCTAGGAACCAGGATCATATCTCCTGCACCTTAGATCATAGCTCTGTGTCAATGTGTGTTAGCCCTTCAAAGCTAAATGAAAAGTAGGTTGGAGTCGTCTGCAGTGGCTGCAGCGGAATGGCATAGACTGGAAATCAAGTTGTTTCTCAAACTCTTCCTTCTTTGCCCACAAGCCAGTCCTGAGCACAGATCCAGGACCCTGTCCATTCTGGCTTTTGGTTTCCTTCCCTCAACAGGTCCTGACAACTTTCTTCAACCTCAGTGTCCTCTACCTCCATGGCAACAGCATCCAGCGCCTGGGAGAAGTGAACAAGCTGGCTGTCCTCCCTCGACTCCGGAGCCTGACACTCCATGGGAACCCCATAGAGGAAGAGAAGGGGTATAGGTGAGCGCCCTGCCCCTGGGCTGGGCTCCCCTGAGGGGGAAAGGAGGTGGGAAGATAAGAAGTCCAACACCGTTATTCTGCCATGCTGGGACAGGGAAAGGAGTAGAGACCTTTAGGCATTTCTTGCCTATCAGGAGAAACTCTGTCATCCCCCAAATTATACTTAAGTTCCTCCATTCCTTGCAATTAGGGGAGATAGTGGCAACTGGTGGAGGGGGAAGGAGGTTCTGGTGCAGGGTTGGCCCCCAGCCTGAGTCTTCCCCACAGGCAATATGTGCTGTGCACCCTGCCCCGTATCACCACATTCGACTTCAGCGGGGTCACCAAGGCAGACCGCACCACAGCTGAAGTGTGGAAGCGCATGAACATCAAGCCCAAGAAGTTCCGGATCAAGCAGAATGCACTCTGAGGTTCTCAGGCCCCAGCAGTCCTGAGAGGATGGTCAGTTTGGTTTAACAATAAACGAATTGAGCAGTTGAGCAGGTGCGAAGTCACCTGTGTCATGTAAAAACGTCCTCCAACTCAGGCACTTGTCAGTAGCTCCAGTGTTATTTGGCTGAAAGAGGGAGGCAGTGAAGGAAAAGGCCTGTTTCAACACCTGGGACATGGGGGACCTGGGTTTACTGGTATGTCCTTGGGAGACTTACCTCTCTGAGCCCTTTCTTTACTCTTCAATTCAGACATGCTGGGGTTAGAGCTGTTTCACAGAGTGCCAAGTTTCTGTGGAGATCCCTCAGAGAAGACGACAGGCTGTGATCTTTGAACCCCCCACTTCGATCAGATCAGGGTATTTCTGCTCTGTCTTACATGTCGGGATTCTGCTTGAGATTTCATTTGATAAAGGGAATCTTCTGCTTGAAAACATTGGCTTGCTGGCTCCATATCAAGTATTCTTGGTCTCTGCCTTTATCCCCCAACCCTGGGCTTGTTGATAATTCCACTGAATTTGAGGCAGGGCCCCAACAGCAAGAGCTGCCTCAGATTCAAGTCTGTTCAGTTTTGACAGTGTTCCCATCACCAAGAAAGGACAAGCATGGTCTTATCCAATCTGACGTTAGCCCAGGCCAAGTTCTGGCTAAGACCGGGGAACCCTGAACCCTTATCTCCCGGATTCCTCTTAATGCCCCTAGAAGACATCCCCCACCCCCCCCCACCCCCCGCATCCATCTCACTGCTCACAGACCAGAAGTAGTATCAGGGTGGTGGGCAGGACAGACGGGCTGCAGCCAGCACACAGATGAATACACTTCCTTTATCGAGGGTGACAAACCAAAACAAAACCCCAAACATGTAAAAACCCAGGGTGCTAGATATACAAACTCAATTCATTCAGATTCAAGCTCGTCCAGACCCTGGTCACAAACCCTACTGAGGTGCATGTGAGCACCAAGTCAGGGAGAGGGGGGCAGGAGTGAGGCCAAGAGAAAGGATGGGAAGGGGGCCCCCACAGGCCCCCTAAGGATCACTCTCTCACAGTGGTACCTCCACCTTCCCAGTGACAGTGAAGACCTACTACGCCCTAATCTTTTGACCCCCACCCCATCCCTGGCCAGGGCTTTGAACGCCAGTCCCAAATGGTTCTACCCTCCCTTGCTCCATCCTCACTTGCTCAGGCTTCCAGCCTTCCAGCTTCTTCTCCTCCTCCACACTCTTCTCTGTGATTAGTAGCAGGTTAGGGTACTGTATGAGCTGCAGTGAGGCTGGGGGCCAGGAGAGGCAGGGTGGAGACGGGTGAAGAGAGGAGAAGAGCTGTCCCAAGGATCCCTCTCTTCATGGGATCCCAAACTGTACAACCAGCTCCTCTTTTGCATCCACTCGGATCTGAGAAAGTGCACTGTAGGCATAAGCAGCTATCCTGGAGACCTGAGACAGAGGGACCAGGGAGGAGAGGAACAGAGAGAGGCAGTGAGAAGGGAGATCCAAAAAGCCAGGGAGGTGGATTGGGTGGCGAGAGAGGAGGGGATGATGGGGGATAGGAAGCCAAAGAGCAAAGGCAGGGATGGGAAAGATGGAAAAGAACAAAGGGGAGAAAGAGAACAAAGGTGGAGAGGAGAAGACACAAAGTAAGAGAGGTGAGAGTGAGCAAGGTACTTGAGCTACCAGGCTCTCTAACTCCACTTCCCTACTGCCTCTGAGATGGAGAGGGCGAACCCTCTGCCACAGCCTGGGCAGTGCAGGAAGGATGAGCAGGGGCGGGCCAAGGGGTGGCTCACCTGCTGTAAGTCGGAGAAGGGGATGGGCTCGCTGGCCAGCACTTGGTGGGGCTGGCTGGTGAGAGATGGCAGCGGTGGCAGCTTCTTCCAGTGGGTCAGGCTGCTGCTCAGCACAGCCAAGCGGGTGCTGGCCAAGAGGGAGGATGGGGTGGGCAGTCAGGCCAGTCTGCTCTGCCCAGTCCAGCCCGGCTCGGGGAAGTCTCACTCCCTCAGGCCAGAGAAGCAGGGTGACGGTGGCCTCTGCTCACCACAAACTCACTCCAGGCCCACCTCCCTTGGCCTCCGCACCCTTGAAGGCCATGGGGCAAACAGGGCCGACATGCACATCTGCTGAGGTACCAGAGAGATTTGTTGTCAGTCTCCTGGGCCACACCCAAACAAGGAGCCTGGACTGGGGCTCAGACTCCAAAGCTGGATAAGGGATCGAGGGGCAGGGAGGGACCCAAGTAGCCTGAGGGAGGGATGCAAGCTGGCCAGGTCTCACCTGTACTGCCTTGCCCGGTCCATGTACTCATGCTGCTCCATGCCCTGGGAGTCCGCAGCAGACACGTCAATGATGTTGCTTTGGGGAGAGGAGGCAGAGGGAACATGACAGGTGCTTTAAGAGGGATACACAGGACTCACTGCCAAGTCCCAATTCCAGAGCTATCTGACACCATGTCCCTGCCTCCCCACTGGAGCAAACCCAGGCCTAGAAGCACCTCTCACCACTGACCTTGTCCCATCCCCCATGTCCCGGGCCCAGTCCCCCTATCCCAGCTTTTTTTTTTTTTTTTTTAATTTTTTTAACGTTTATTTATTTTTGAGACACAGAGAGACAGAGCATGAACAGGGGAGGGGCAGAGAGAGAGGGAGACACAGAATCTGAAACAGGCTCCAGGCTCTGAGCTGTCAGCACAGAGCCTGACGCGGGGCTCGAACTCACGGACCGCGAGATCGTGACCTGGCTGAAGTCGGACGCTTAACCGACTGCGCCACCCAGGCGCCCCATATCCCAGCTTTTAACATGGATGGAGAAAGCTCTGCCCAGGCTTGGTCCTGCAGTGCTCACCTGGCTGTCTTAGCAAGAATGGAGGAGAGCAGGGCCTGCTCATCTGTGCGAGTGGAAGGCAGGCTGTGGTAGTTGGGCTCAGCTCCATTGAGGGCTTTGGTAGGGGGGCTGCTAGGGTCCAGCAGCAGTTTCCGCTCCTCTCGGTCCTGGGAAAGGCCATGGAGGAGAAGTCAGCCCCAGAGCCTTTAGTTAGATTTATTTATTTACTTACTTACTTACTTATTTGAGAGAGAGCACACATGCTAGCAAGGAAGAGGGGCAGAAAGAAAGAGAGACAGAGGATCTTAAGCAGGCTCAACACTCAGCACGGAGCCCAATTTGGGGCTGGAGCTGATGTGGGGCTGGATTTCACAACCCTAGGATCATGACTGGAACCAAAATCAAGAGTCAGACACTCAACCGACAGAGCCACCCAGGCACCCCAAACCTGGAGCCTTTAGTCCAACCTGCCTTTCTTGGGCTCTCCTTTCAGCCCAGCTATGACTTTTAAGCACCAAAAAATATCCCAAGTGCTGAAGTGTATGGAATGCCAGATAAGGCTCAGTCCTGCCTGCCCTTCGGAGCTCAGCTGAGTTGTGGGTCTAGGATGAATTAAAGTAAATCCAAGCAGCCCTAGAGACCCTGAAAAGATGGACAGAGACACAAAGCATGTACTCAATAACCACTCTGGAGCTTCAGCAAACAGTCTAGCACCTGATGAGAAAGAATACTAGAAGCTGGAAGCCAGAGGAGTAAGGTCTAGAAACTGATGGGAGTCAGGAGCCCAAGAATGGCCCTCCTGATCCCCCAGACCAGGCCCTTCCCAGAAAGGCTGTCTGCTCCTAGGATGGAGGCCCCGTGAGGCCAGACAATTATATTCCTCATGTAATCTCAGGGCAAGAGTCCCAGCCTCTGGGTCACACAGTCCAAGTGTGCCCCCTTCCTAGAGGACAGGTCCCTTCTACTCTCAGGTGTTCACTCTTCTCTAATGCTTTCTTTGTATATGACTCCCAGAACCAAACTTGGTGCACCTGGTGAAACCTGACCCGAACAGTGCAGCTGTTCCCTCCCTTGCCAAGTCACCACACTTCTATTCTTGTGGTTTGTTAATTTTCAGTAGTCCTGTTACTGCTAGCTTAAGCCAATAATCACAACCCCCAGAACTAACATGGGGCCAAACCAAGTCTCCCTGGTCCTATTCCAGCCCTATTCTAATCTACTGCAGTCTCTCTGAATATGACCCTGCCTTGAGCCTATCAGCTGCAAATCCCTGCTGGCTTTATGTCAGCCACAAATTGGATAAGCAGGCCTGCTGGGTATCTATCCAAGCCATAAAGAGCAAGGGTGCCCAGGACAAAGCCAAAGACAAGGGGGCCCATCCTGCCTAATGCTGACTCACCAACCCTTAGTACCAGACCACCAGTGCTCCACTCCAGGCAGATCTCAGTTCGTACCATAGACCTTCCCACTGTGGGCTCCCAGTTCCCCTGCCCCCAACTCCACAACTCTCCTTACAGAGGGCCACTTCCTCCTGCTCGCCTGCCCCACCCTAGGCAGGCCAAGCCCTTTCACAATACTCTTCCTTCTCAAGTCTAGGTTGCCAAGCGTCTTCAGTTCCCAACAGCATGAGACAAAAGCTGTGGGACTCTGTCCTATCACCTCCCAACTCCTAGACATACCTTCCTCCTCCTCAAAACACAGACTAAGTATTCAAGGGCTAGAAGGACAAAATGGTTGCTAAAGATCAAACTATCTCAAAGGAAAGCTGGCTCCATAATGAACCCTGAATTTGCTTCCTGTGTGCTGTCCTTCTCCCAGCCCTACTTCAGACAGATCTTCCTATAGGACAGGGCAGTCTCCCCTGTCCCCCATGTCTAAGCGGATTCTTCAAGAACAACGATGTTTTCCTGAGACCTAGACTCCCAGAAGAGGCCAGGCTACCCCCAATCAGAGTGAACAAATAACATCACCCCACCCCCAAGGGCAAGTGAAGCATGGAGGAAGTGTTTCACACCAAGGTTTGTCCCTGAGTCAGTGTCAATCCAGGAGTCAGGCTTTCACTGTCTACTCCAGCACAGACACATATACATGGTCTGTCCATGAGTAGTCACCTGGTGTATGGGCATAGCTGAAAAGAATATCTTGGCCCAATGGATAAAGCACATGGCTTGGTATCAAGATACGTTGACTACAGCATTACTCAGCTTTGTATCTTTGGCTAAATATCTTAGCCTCTCTGAACTTTTCCCTTACCTTTAAGTACATAACCTACACCTATACGACAAA